ATTTCATGGCCCACCTTCAACTAGTACTATATCTACCCCTGAAATTAAGTTCGGAGGAGAGGAGTTTTTGGTGGAGGTAAAATGGTGGTGATGAAGGATTTGAAAATCGGCCGAAACGATTTTGTAATAACGAAAATATAACTTTAAATTAGAAAATGATTATTTAATTTTTGGATGAAAAAGTATATTAAGGCAAACCTGGGGAAAAAGCCGTTTACTCTATTATTCACGCATATTTTTAGACACAATATTAGGTGTTAGTGACATCTGATCTGCCAAGATATTTAATTAGCATAAATTGCATTCGGAAAGACACCTGTTAGACAATTCCTCTCAAATATTACTCAAACTAAACATCCACAATTATTTGTCCAAAAAATTATAAAATAATATATTTGATATATTGAATGGGATTTTATAATTAATTACGTCAAACACAAATTATTCCCATGAAAAAATTTGGACTTAGGTTATCATGTAACATACGAAAATTACTATAAAAACTGGAAAATAACTACCTAAAATTATTTTTAATTAAATAAATAAAATATCGCAAATTGGCTTTACGTACCGAAAACAAAAAAAACTTTAATGCATTGTTTGTGGGTAGTAAATAAAACATGAGTTAAAAATCAATCGTGGACAGCCCTTCTGGACGGTTGAGAACGTAACATAGACTGCAAATTCTCTTGGAGAAGAACATTGTTTTCCATGGTTTAATTTAATGGCCCATGTGGAACGTAATGAAAGATAAAAACAGTTTTGGTGTTGTGGTAATGGGAAACAGGCCATCTGTCAATTATTTAGAATTTTTAATCAAAAAGTAGCCCATTGCCCCCTTTCATGGTTCCAGAGGAAGAGGAAGTCCTGAAACAACGGCTCACGAATAAAAAATAAAAATTGACCCGGAATTCTGACATATTAAATGCCATTGTATAGGACATTTCTGCCGTGGAAAATGCTCGATAACAAGATTCAACGAAGAAATGTTTTAATCACCTCAACCATATTGTTTTTATAACATTATTAAATCAATCCGCCAATGGCGACTTTCAATTTCTTCCGAAGTATGACGATTACCAAATACACGCTTGGACATTTCAAACCCAGACCAAAATAAAAAACTTGGAGTATTAGACTAAAACAACACAAAGTCATTAACTTAATTAAGCCTCTTTTTTTTTTTTTTTTTTGGCTTCTCAAGTCCTTTTTGTTTGTATAATTACTTTGGTCTGGCCGCCATGAAAATTTATCGGAGTTATGATTGTTGTGTGAAAAATTTCTATTTTATTAAGTATACCATGAAACCCAGAAGAGCATTCAGAAAATGTTCAGGTACAGGGCTACTTAATCGAGCCAAATCAGTTACCTTCTCTAGCATCACATTTGCCGCTTAATCTTCATCATCTATGAAGATAGTATTATCTCTAATGTTTCTGTGCAGTCTGAGGGGAATTTCAGAGAGGCTACAGGAAAGTGGGAGATTCAGGCAATACCATTGCTTTCTTTTCAAGAAGTGATCGAAAAAGCTGATACAATAGTGTCAGAGGCCTCTGAAACCTCCTTTTAGTCTCACCGAAGAAGAAAGAATAGCATGGTTCAAAAAGACACTACCCAAGTTTGAGATTTTCAAGTCAGACAATTGACAAGAAATTTCACAGCCGTGTCTGATTTTTCAATCATGAGTGTGAGGTTCAGGCATTCATGACATGGATTTCTCCAGCAAGGTCTTTTGGAAGAAGAGAATCTTTAGCTGTGGAATCATTTTTCAAAGTATCCTCATGGATGCTGATGATTCTATCGAGAACTCTGGACTCTACAAATGGGTACAGGCTCCTGAAACCAATACTTGATAGAAAGTTCAAGTTGTTGCAGTGACTCCAGACTTGTCGTTTCTGTTCAAGGATACTCCAGCGAAGCTTGGTTCATGAAAGAAGGTGGAAATAAGGATCTGGTGAGATTCCACTAGTCAAAATCTACCAATCTAATGAGGCTTACTGTTCTATACAAGTATGGAGGTGTGTATTGGATACAGATTTTATGTTTCTAAAAAGTTCAAAGCGTTGAAAAATTCTATTGGAGCACAAAGCGTGAATAAGGAGTCAGGGAACTGGACTAGACTCAATAATGCTGTTCTGGTATTTGACAGGAATCATCCACTTCTTTTCAGATTCATAGAGGAGTTTGCAGCAACTTTTGAGGGAATAATGGGGTTATAACGGTCCCTACCTTGTTTCCAGAGTAGTTACAGATTTGAAAGAAAGCTGGTTTTAACTTGACATCTTGCCGCCATGGCGTTCTATCAGTTGATTGGAACAGAATAGTAGGGCTTTCAAGATGCCAGAAAACCATGCGCATTCGAGATGGGTAAATGCGAAGCTGCGTCAGCTAAGTGGAGAGACTACGGGGTACACTTGTGGAACAAGCAAAGTAAGAATTAGAATCGAAGAGGGAAGCGTCATGGAAGATTAATTCGATCATTGCATCGTTTGTGAAGACATTTACGTCTTAAAGAAGATTATTAATGAAAATGGGAAGCTGTCATAATAATATCACGTCGATCACGTTGGAGTAGCAAGATATCGTTAGTAATTTTTCAACTGAAAAATGTGAAGTCATTTTACTTGATTTCTAGATTTTTTTGTTCCTTTGTTTCTTGATTTGATTCTGATCCCAATGTAAATTAAATGTACAATATGATTGTGAATTCATACAGGTGAAAGAATTTGCGAAGATTTATCTCTTCATACATATCTGTAGTTGTATATGATTGTTTCCTTTGTTCAAAATTGATTTCAAGGCTACAAAAAAGCATAAATCTTTCTTCCAAAAATCATAATCCTGACCGTCTTAATCTCAACTCAATCTAAAGCCTCTGCATATCCATAAACCAAACCTGGCAATCTCCTGTATGATTTTTCTTCAATTTGCGGTGCTCATTTTGGCTTCATATTCTTGAAGCCAGACTCTTCATTCTTGAAACTACCATCCGATGCAAAATTACTTCGTTATCGTTTCTGAGACCACTGGAGGATCCAATCGCTTAAATCGCCCATGGATCATAATTTAATTCATCATCTGTGTCACTGCCCCAGAGAGGTATAGTTTTATTATCGGTGAGCCACTGTAATTGTAAAAAGGTGGCCAAACTGTATGCCCATGTCAAACAATCTCCTGAGAGAAGTGCTCCACCTTTCACAACTCAAAGTGCTTCTTCTGCGATTGAAGAAAAGATGACACTGAAGCAGATGAAGATGAAAACGAAGACGATGAGAAGAAAAATATATAGATTTCTGATACTCTATTATCCGCTGATCTATCCTTTGATCTCCTGTCAGGAACATGTTCCTTCATCATCTTTTTCTTCTGTTATCTCTGGTTTCATCTAATCTAAGAGGAGTTTTTTTGTTTTTGATATATGGATGTTAAAATACAGTTCCGGTAATTAATAAATTGACAACAAGAACAAGGGAAAAAACTATGCAAGAACTGAGACGCCTGAAACCCCTGTGCCGGCCGGCTAGAAAACAGTATTTCCCTTTCCTGTTTTAATAAAAGTGTATAAAAGAGAGATAATTACATTAACCCCCCTGGGGTTCGAGTCTATAATTCCAAGTTTAAAACCCACATAGGGCAAAATGGGTAATTCACTAAGAATGAAAAGGAAGAATGATTAATCCACTTTTTTCTGCATTAAAATATTGTTTCAGAACTAGTATTTGAATTAACAGCTATTAGTTTGAGGGGGTATTATTCCATAGTATTTGAAAGGTCAGGATCTTGAGATTAGACAAAAAGTTGAGGGTGGATTAAAGTCTTTCTCTAATACAAAAGAAGACAAATGTTAGTACACATTTAGCTTCTCCAAGATTCCGAGTCTTAATTAATTAATTAATTTAAGAGATATTAATCGATTACCCTTTAAACAAACCAACCAAGAAAAGTATGCGTCAAACGAGGAATCCACGTCATTCTTCAATATGATAATGCTTCTTCTTCATGAGGAAGACATATATATTTCGAGGAAAAACTAATATAGGAAGAAAATATCTTTGTGATTACATTTCTTCTAATTAAAAATAAATATGGCAACCATTCACTTGTGGACGGATGGATAGAGGGACGTATGGGCAACCATCCACTTGTGGTCGGATGGATAGAGAGACGTATGGTTGAAAGTGCATGCTTTCGATCTTGAGATCAAACTGTTAAGAATTTTTTTTTTTTATCTAACACAATAAATATGCTTGAATTTTATTATAATCTAAATGAATTTACATAGATAAGTGCAAATTTTTCTTTATTCTTTTGCATGTATAAATAAAAGGGGTTCATTTTTATTTTTTTATTTTTTATAATAATAAATTGGAAGATTAATATTTAACATATTTATATCTTTGTTGTTTGTTTTTTACACGTTATGGTACATTTAGTTAGAGGTTTAGGAAGATTACTTCGATAATCTATCTTTGATTTCGAACATTACATTGTTTAGTTGTCAAGTAATAAAAAGTTTTGATAATCGTTCAATATTAATAATAATTAATGTAAATGATATAGAAGGTTATGTGATTACTGATCCAAAGGGTGTTATTAAAATATTATCGGGGTAATCTATTTTTTATACCAGTTTTACTCTTATTTAAAAAAAAATTTGGACACAAATGTCCTCATATATTTACCAAATAACAATTAAGCCAACTATACGAAATAACTTCTGTAACCTCATAAATTTTTTTTTTTCAACAGAAATGCCCCTCATTTTATGTAAATTAATCTTAATTTTGTTACTATTTTACCCCTAAGCAAATTAATTCTATAACATTCTCAATAATCTATTTTATTGGTAATTCTATCTCATCAGTAATAAAACATTCTTGAAACAGACGCATTAAAAGCAAATAATAACAAAGTTGGTGATGAGAATACATAAATACTACCCTCGAACTAAGTTATAAACCCAAAACAGTTTAAATATTAAAAACAAAAATTGGCTAAACATGAATACGATTCTATCAATCTATAACTGGGTAGATCTTTATNGAGAGATTCCCATTAATCTCACTCGTTGTTCAGAACTCAGGACTCTTGACTTGGTCATGAATAAGCTGGAAGGGACAATTCCTTCTGAACTAGGAATTCTGTTGAAATTAACAGGACTAGGACTTGCCGTCAACAATCTAACTGGACCCATCCCTCGGTCACTTTCAAACCTCTCGTCTCTAAAGCAGCTTTCTCTGTCAGAGAACAGTCTCAGCGGCAATATCCCTGTTGAGCTCGGCCGGCTGAAGAGGCTCAACATGTTTCAAATATCGGCAAATAAGTTCTTAACAGGTCCAATCCCAACCCAGCTCTTCAATATCTCTTCTATGGAGTACTTTGGTGTGGCGGAAAACCAACTTGTTGGAGAAATCCCACATTACATTGGACTAACACTTCCTAATATCCGTGTACTTCTCTTTGGGATTAATAGGTTTACAGGGGCAATACCTCATTCAATATCTAATGCAAGTAAACTTGAAAAGCTAGATTTTTCACAGAACTTTTTTACTGGCTCAATACCTGTAAATCTAGGAAGATTGAAAAATCTGATCAGGCTCAACTTTGCTGTAAATAACCTCGGAACCGGGGAGGGTGATGACCTTAGCTTTCTCACCTCTTTAGTTAACTGTACCCACTTAGAAGTACTCAGCCTAAGCAATAATAGCCTACGTGGGAAATTGCCGGATTCTATTGCTAATTTCTCATCCCAACTTACCTATTTATACATGGGAGAGAACCGGATATCTGGTAACATCCCAACAGGCATTGGAAATCTGAAAAATTTGATCTCAATAGGCATCGAGAAGAATCTTCTCACAGGAGGCATTCCAATATCTATGGGATATCTCTCGAACCTGCAAATCTTGTCCTTGTTTGGAAACAGTTTTTCAGGTGAAATTCCTTCATCCCTTGGAAATTTAACTTACTTGATAGAACTCAGTTTAGATGAAAATTTCATACAGGGAAGCATACCTTCAACTCTAGGGAATTGCCAACTACTACAGAGTTTAGGTCTCTCAGAAAACAACCTGTCTGGAGATATACCATTTCAAGTTATTGGCCTACCTTCCTTATCAGAATGGTTGGACTTGTCTCGCAATCATCTAACTGGGTCCATACCCTCAGTAATTGGTAACCTGAAAAATATTCGACTATTAGACTTGTCACAGAATAAATTATCAGGTGAAATTCCAAGTTCCTTTGCAAATTGTATTGGCCTCGAGCGCCTACATCTGAGAGATAATTCCTTTCAAGGACAAATCCCCCCGTCTTTAAGTTCCTTAAAAGGTCTTCAAGACCTTGACATTTCGCGGAACAACTTTACGGGAAAAATCCCCAATTTTTTGGAGACATTTCTGTTTTTGCGAACGTTAAACCTGTCCTTCAATAATCTTGAGGGTGAGGTACCAAAAGAAGGCATCTTTAAAAATGCAAGTGCAATTTCAGTCACAGGAAATGCTAAGCTTTGCGGTGGAATCCCAGAATTGAATCTGCATAGTTGCCCATCCAATGGCTCCAGGAAATTCTGGCAACGATCCACTTTCAAAATAATAATTGTAACAGCTTCTTTGGCTACCTGTTTACTTTTAACATGCTTTGTGATAGTCTGTTGGAGGAGAAAAGGAAGAAGAAAAGCTTTGCTTGATTCTCCTATGGAGGATAAGTATGTGAGGATTTCTTATGCAGAGCTCTTGAAAGCAACAGAAAGGTTCTCCTCCGCCAATTTGATAGGCAGTGGGGGTTATGGTTTCGTGTATAAAGGCAGCCTAGGCCGTGAGGAAACACCTGTTGCAGTGAAGGTACTAGATCTTCAACAAAGGGGAGCTTCAAAAAGCTTCACTGCTGAATGTGACGCCTTGAGGTGCATTCGACATCGCAATCTTGTGAAAATAATCACTTCTTGCTCAAGTCTAGATAACAAAGGCAATGAATTCAAGGCTTTGGTTTATGAGTTCATGTCTAATGGGAGTTTAGAAGAGTGGTTACATCAAAATAATGAATTGGAAAATCCGAGGCCAGATCTGAATTTGATGCAAATGCTGAGCATCGCCATTGATGTAGCGAATACATTGGAGTATCTCCACCACCATTGCCACACACGCATTGTTCATTGTGATCTTAAGCCAAGCAATGTGCTACTTGACAATGACATGGTTGCCCATGTTGGTGACTTTGGGTTAGCAAGGCTACTTTATGATAACCCTCCTCAAGACCCAACCAGCTCAAGTAGGTTAAAGGGCTCCATCGGTTTCGTCTCTCCAGGTAACACCAACTCTTTTCTTAGAATCTTGTTAAGGCTGCATTTGGTTCTTGAAAAGGGTAACAGAAGATTAAAAGAACCAAGTAATTTTTTTTTTAAATAAAAAATTTAAGAATCGATTTTCAATGTCCTTTTCAAGAATCAAAAGGGAGACTAACAGATTTTTCATTACTTGTGAGTAAACTTTTCTCTTTCGTATTAATTATTAAGTGTTCATTTTTAATTAAAAACAGAGTATGGATTATCTGGTGAGGTTTCAACATATGGAGATGTGTATAGCTTCGGCATCCTATTGCTGGAAATGTTCACTGGAAGGAGACCAACTGATGACATGTTCAGGGAAGGCCTTAACCTTCATAGCTTTGTAAAGATGTCAATGCCAGATCAAGTAGCTGAAATTGTCGACTCAACAATTCTGGAAGAAGCACTTCAAATCCAAGTTTGCAGAGGTATATTGCAACCAACTTTACAAGGCAAAATTCACGAGATTCTAGTCTCAATATTGAAATTAGCCCTCCAGTGCTCCGCAGAATTGCCAAGTGAAAGAAAGCAGATCAAAGATGTCACCGTGGAATTGCAAGAATTCCAAAAATCATTTCTGGCTTTCAGGCTATAATTAACAGGTTAGCAATTTCCGAGAAAAGGTCGAAGGCGTGTAGTATGAAGATTTGTCACCATATTTGACTTTAAAGGCTACTGCAGTGATTACATAATATCTTTGAAAAAGTCTTGAAGAGGTGGCTCAGCTCAGGGTTTGGTACATGTTGCCTTTAACTTTCGCAATTGAAATTTAATAATTCAATCCTAATCCAGCCATGCTTATATTTTAATCCCTTAATCTTCCCATGTATTCATTGAACTTTTGTATGAATCTTCCTTCTATTATATTATATTGGTCCTCTATCTGTATATTATCCTATTATTTATTTTTCAATCTAAAATGGCCAATCAAGTGGCTATACAAAGAATTTCATATAATCAAGAATAACTATTTGGAGATTCCTTCTGTTCATGTCAAGACTTCGAATAGGCCATTTAAGGAAAATTTAAAAAATCAAACAAGTTGACGTTTAAAAAGAAAATATACTTAAGCCTGCTCTAATCCAAATAATATCAATACATAAATATGCTTAAAACAAGACAGAAGGAATAAAATAAAAATCATGATCTCAATGATAAAGATATAGTTTAACCTTTTTATATTGGCAATTAGCGTTAATGACAATAATGACATGTTCTCCACGAAAAAACAGTAGTAGAGTTGTTACAGAAATTTTGCTAAAAATGTTTATTCTTTTAAAAAATATATATATAATATTAATTTTTATCAACAGTGTTTTTAATTATTTAAAAATATTTTCCAAATATATCGAATTAGAAAGATAAGGCAGAATCTGGAAAGAAATTGATCCTAATGACATCTCTGCCCCTTAGATATTATTTATTTGATTAAACAACTTTTTCGCACCCAAGGTTTGCCTTAACGACACTTTTTCACTCAAAAAGTTTTAAAATACAATTTTCACACCCAAAGTTTATATTCTGTTAATACCCAAAATATATTTTACTTTCTCAGCAAGTGTTCCGTGAGTTACTAAGAGCTAGGGTAAGAGAGATTTTATAGAGTGGAGGTCGATGGATTGAATGGTGATGACTAATTGAATATTTACTGTCGGAACCAATCAAAAATCAATAAGAACAAGAAACTTTAGCTTTGTGGTGGCCAACAATCAGTGAGAAATCAGGTAGGACTGGATCTAAAAATTTCTGTTAGGGTGAACCAAAATAAAAACTAATTGCATATTAATATTTCTATTACGATAGGCCAAAATTTAGAAATTGTACATATTAATATTTTTTTTTTAAATTTCATGGCCCACCTTCAACTAGTACTATATCTACCCCTGAAATTAAGTATCGGAGTGAGAGGAGTTTTGTAGAGAAAATACAGGAGGTTAAAATGGTGGTGATGAAGAGAATTTGAAATCGGCCGAAATCGATTTTAGATAATAACGAAATATTAACTTTAAATTAGAAAATGATATTTTAAAATTTTTTGGATGAAAAAGTATCATTAAGGCAAACCTTCGGTGGGAAAAAGCCGTTTACTCTATTATTCAGCCATATTTTTAGACACAATATTAGGTGTTAGTGACATCTGATCTGCCAAGATATTTAATTAGCATAAATTGCATTCGGAAAGACACCTGTTAGACAATTTCCTCTCAAATATTACTCAAACTAAAACATCCACAATTATTTGTCCAAAAAATTATAAAATAATATATTTGATCTCGCATACCCATCATTGAATGGGATTTTATAATTAATTACGTCAAACACAAATTATTTCCCATGAAAAAATTTGGACTTAGGTACTATCATGTAACATACGAAAATTACTATAAAAACTGGAAAATAACTACCTAAAATTATTTTTAATTAAATAAATAAAATATCGCAAAAATTTTGGCTTTACGTACCGAAAACAAAAAAACATTTAATGCATTGTTTGTGGGTAGTAAATAAAATACATGAGTTAAAAAATCAATCGTGGACAGCCCTTCTGGACGGTTGAGAACGTAACATAGACTGCAAATTCTCTTGGAGAAGAACATTGTTTTCCATGGTTTAATTTAATTAGGTCCCATGTGGAACGTAATGCAAAGATAAAACAAGTTTTGTGTTGTGGTAATGGGAACACATGGCCAATCTGTCAATTATTTAGAATTTTTAATCAAGAAGTTGAGCCCCATTGCCCCCTTTTCATGGTTCCAGAGGAAGAGTCAAGTCCTGAAACAACGGCTCACGAAATAAAAATAAAAATTGACCCGGAATTCTGACATATTAAATGCCATTGTATAGGACATTTCTGCCGTGGAAAATGCCTGAGATAACAAGATTCAACGAAGAAATGTTTTAATCACCTCAACCATATTGTTTTTATAACATTATTAAATTCAATCCGCCAATGGCGACTTTCAATTTCTTCCGAAGTATGACGATTACCAAATACACGCTTGGACTATTTCAAACCCAGACCAAAATAAAAAACTTGGAGTAATAGACTAAAACAACACAAAGTCATTAAACTTAATTAAGCCTCTTTCTTTTTTTTTTTTTTTTTTGGCTTCTCAAGTCTCTTTTTGTTTGTATAATTACTTTGGTCTGGCCGCCATGAAAATTTATTCGGAGTTATGATTGTTGTTGTGAAAAAATTATATCGTTATTTAAGTATACCATGAAACCCAGAAGAGCAATTCAGAAAATGTTCAGTTACGGGCTACTTAATCGAGCCAAATCAGTTACCTTCTCTACCATCACATTTGCCGCCTTAATCTTCATCATCTATGAAGATAGTATTATCTCTAATGTTTCTGTGCAGTCTGCTAGGGGAATTTCAGAGAGGCTACAGAGCAAAGTTGGAGAATTCAAGGCAATACCATTGCTTTCTTTTCAAGAAGTGATCGAAAAAGCTGATACAATTAGTGATCAGAGGCCTCTGAAACCTCCTTTTAGTCTCACCGAAGAAGAAAGAATAGCATGGTTCAAAAAGACACTACCCAAGTTTGAGATTTTCAAGTCAGACAAATTGACACAGAAATTTCACAGCCGTGTTCTTGATTTTTTCAATCATGAGTGTGAGGTTCAGGCATTCATGACATGGATTTCTCCAGCAAGGTCTTTTGGAAGAAGAGAATCTTTAGCTGTGGAATCATTTTTCAAAGTTCATCCTCATGGATGCATGATGATTCTATCGAGAACTCTGGACTCTACAAATGGGTACAGGCTCCTGAAACCAATACTTGATAGAAAGTTCAAAGTTGTTGCAGTGACTCCAGACTTGTCGTTTCTGTTCAAGAATACTCCAGCTGAAGCTTGGTTCAATGAAATGAAGCGTGGAAATAAGGATCCTGGTGAGATTCCACTAGCTCAAAATCTATCCAATCTAATGAGGCTTACTGTTCTATACAAGTATGGAGGTGTGTATTTGGATACAGATTTTATTGTTCTAAAAAGTTTCAAAGCGTTGAAAAATTCTATTGGAGCACAAAGCGTGAATAATGAGTCAGGGAACTGGACTAGACTCAATAATGCTGTTCTGGTATTTGACAGGAATCATCCACTTCTTTTCAGATTCATAGAGGAGTTTGCAGCAACTTTTGATGGGAATAAATGGGGTTATAACGGTCCCTACCTTGTTTCCAGAGTAGTTCAAAGATTTGAAAGAAAGCCTGGTTTTAACTTGACAATCCTGCCGCCAATGGCGTTCTATCCAGTTGATTGGAACAGAATAGTAGGGCTCTTCAAGATGCCAGAAAACCATGCGCATTCGAGATGGGTAAGTGCGAAGCTGCGTCAGCTAAGTGGAGAGACTTACGGGGTACACTTGTGGAACAAGCAAAGTAAAAGAATTAGAATCGAAGAGGGAAGCGTCATGGGAAGATTAATATCCGATCATTGCATCGTTTGTGAAGACATTTACAGTTCTTAAAGAAGATTTTTCAACTGAAAAATGGTGAAGCTAGTTCAATCATTTTACTTGATTTCTAGATTTTTTTTGTTCCTTTGTTTCTTGATTTTGATTCGTGATCCCAATGTAAATTAAATGTACAATATGATTGTGAATCTTATTCAGGTGAAAGAATTTGCGAAGATTTACTTTCTTCCAATACATATCTGTATGTTGTATATGATTGTTTCCTTTGTTCAAAATTTGATTTCAAGGCTACAAAAAAGCATTAAATCTTTCTTCCAAAAATCATAATCCTGAGCCGTCTTAATCTCAACCTAAATCTAAAGCCTCTGCATATCCATAAACCAAAACCTGGCAATCTCCTGTATGATTTTTTTCTTCTCAATTTGCGGTAGCTCATTTTTGGCTTCATATTCTTGAAGCCAGACTCTTCATTCTTGAAACTACCATCCGATGCAAAATTACTTCGTTCATCGTTTCTGAGACCACTGGAGGATCCAATCTGCTTAATATTCGCCCATGGATCATAATTTAATTCATCATCTGTGTCACTGCCCCAGAGAGGTATAGTCTTTATTATCGGTGAGCCACTGTAATTGTCAAAAATGGTGGCCAAACTTGTATGCTCCATGTCAAACAATCTCCTGAGAGAAGTGCTTCCACCTTTCATCAACTCTAACAAAGTGCTTCTTCTGCGACTTGAAGAGAAAGATGAACATGAAGCAGATGAAGATGAAAACGAAGACGATGCAGAAGACAAATATATAGATTTCTGATACTCTATTATCCGCCTGATCTTATCTCTTTGATCTCCTGTCAGGCAACATGTCTCTTCCTCATCATCTTTTTCTTCTGTTATCTCTGGTTTCATCTTAATCTAAGAGGAGTTTTTTTGTTTTGATATAAATGGATGCTTAAAATACAGTTCCGGTAATTAATAAATTGACAACAAGAACAAGGGAAAAAACTATGCAAGAACTGAGACGCCTGAATACCCCTGTGCCGGCCGGCTAGAAGAAACAGTATTTCCCTATTCCATGTTTTTAATGAAGTGTATAAAAGAGAGATAATTACATTAACCCCCCTGGGGTTCGAGTCTATAATTCCAAGTTTAAAACCCACATAAGGGCAAAATGGGTAATTCACACATACATGAAAAGGAAGAATGATTAATCCACTTGTTTTTGTATTAAAATATTGTTTCAGAACTAGTATTTGAATTAACAGCAATTATTCCATGGTATTTGAAAGGTCAGGATCTTGAGATTAGACAAAAAGTTCAGAGGGTGGATTACAGTCTTTCTCCGATACAAAAGAAAACAAATGTTGGTACAAATTTAGCTTTCTCCAAGATTCCGAGTCTTAATTAATTAATTAATTAATTTAAGAGATATTAGTCGATTACCCTTTAAACAAACCAACCAAGAAAAGTATGCGTCAAACGAGGAATCCACGTCATTCTTCAATATGATCATGCTTCTTCTTCATGAGGAAGAGATATATATTTCAAGGAAAAACTAATTTAGAAAGAAAATATATTTGTGATTACATTTGTTCTGATGTAAAAATAAATACGGCAACCATCCACTTGTGGTCGGATGGATAGAGAGACGTATGGTTGAAAACGCTCTCGATCTTGAGATCAAGCTATTAAGAATTTTTTTATCTAAAATAATAAATATATTTTAATTTTATTATAATCTAAATGAATTTACATAGATAAGTGCAAATTTTTCTTTATTCTTTTGCATGTATAAATAAAATGGGTTCATTTTTTTTTTTTTTGATAATAATAAATTGGAAGATTAATATTTAACATATTTATATCTTTGTTGTTTGTTGTTTGTTTTTTACACGTTATGGTACGTTTAGTTAGAGGTTTAGGAAGATTACTTCGATAATCTATCTTTGATTGCGGACATTACATTGTTTAGTCGTCAAGTAATAAAAAGTTCTGATAATCGTTCAATACCAATAATAATTACTGTAAATGATATAGAAGGTTATGTGATTACTGACCTAGAGGGTGTTATTAAAATATTATCGGGGTAATCCATTTTTTATACCAATTTTACCCCTAATAAAAAAAATTCGGACACAAATGCCCTCATATGTTTACCAAATAACAATTACGAAATAACTTCTGTAACCTCATAATCTTTTTTTTTCAACAGAAATGCCCCTCATTTTATGTAAATTAATCTTAATTTTGTTACCATTTTACCCCTAAACAAATAAATTCTATAACATTCTCAATAATCTATTTTATTGGTAATTCTATCTCATCAGTAATAAAACATTCTTGAAACAGACGCATTAAAAGCAAATAATAACAAAGTTGGTGATGAGAATACATAAATACTACCCTCGAACCAAGTTATAAACCCAAAATAGTTTAAATATTAAAAACAAAAATTGGTTAAACATGAATACGATTCTATCAATCTATAACTAGGTAGATCTTTTTTTTTTTGTTTTTTTTTGATGTTACATTTTGACAAAATTGAAACAAATTATGCCTCAGGAAACCTTAAGAGATTGCAGCCTAAAATAGTAGTGGAAACTTAGAAGTGATGCATTGTCAAGAGGTGATTTCTCATTTGAGGGGTATTTTCAGTTGAAATATCACCTTTTTTCCACAACAAAAAAAAAAAAAAAAAAAAAAAAAAAAAACTCTAAATTTAGTGTTTTTTGGAAGGAAAGATTAATTAAGAAAAGAAAATTCCCTGATATTTCGAAATAAAATTAAATCTATACGGTGTGTTGGCACATGCATTAGAATGGACAGAATATTTTGTACTGGATTGAGTGAATTGGATAACACGAATGTATTAATCTTAATGTTTGTCAAGTGTTTCAGTAATATCTGACTAAATATTAATTTATTTAAATAAAATATAATTATGTAAATAATTATCTATACTGAATATTTTTTTTAAAATAATAAATAATAATAAAAATTTGGAAATTAAAAATATATTATATTAATTTTAAATATAATATTAATAGTATTCAATGAAAAAAATGTGAAGGAAAATTGACTAAGTAATAGTCCTGGAAACCAAGGGGGCTGGGGACTATTTTACTTAAATTAGTACTTTTATGTACACTCATTTCATCCAAATCTGCAACCGAACACTTGAATAAAAATGTAGATGATGTAATACAGTGCAGTGCAGCGCAGTGCAATACAGGAAACAAACGCATCCTCTAAATTAAAGAAGGGTAAAAATGTAATGTTGTGTGATGTGCTTCTACAAGATCAAGAGTCTATTTTCAGTTCGAGAAAGACAAATTTCATTAAAAAGTCAACTATATATGCATAATTTTCAATGCAAGTATTTGAACTCCTATTTTTGGTGGAAAATTGAAGAAATGTCAGTCGGTTGAAGATGCAAGTTTTGGCGCCGAGATTGAAAATCTGCTGTGCTGGAAATAGTTGGTGAAGCAGCTGTTTTTTGATGTTTATGTGATGTTTTTAGGTGAATTCAGCCATGATTAAGGGTTACATTATTGTGTAGTACTTGCATTAGTTTATGTTAGGTGTAACAGTGGATAATTTGTATATAAAAATTCCTTTGTTATAAGAATGAAAATCAGAGCAAAAATCTTCTCTCTAGCTACAACCTCTCTTTCTTTCTTAGAATTCTCTAGCAAATAACCACAATTGGTATCAAAGCTTCCGTGATCTTCTAGGACCTGAAATTAAAACCTTAGCTAAACTCGACACCATTAAAACTCATCTTCTTCATGACATCAACTTTGACTTCAATCTCTCCACCAGTTTATGTTAGGTATAACAGTGGACAATTTATATATAAAAATTCCTTGTTATGAGAATGAAAAAAAAAAAATTTAGTAAAAATCTTCTCTCTACAACCTCTTTTTCTTTCTTAGAATTCTCCAACAAATAACCACAATTGGTATCAGAGCTTCCGTGATCTTCTAGGACCGGAAATTAAAACCTTAGCTAAACTCAATACCATTAAAACTCATCTTCTTCATGGCATCAACTTCGACTTCAATCTCTCCACCAGTTTATGTTAGGTGTAACAGTGGATAATTTGCATATAAAAATTCCTCTGTTGTGAGAATGAAAAACAGAGCAAAAATTTTAGTAAAAATCTTCTCTCTACAACCTCTCTTTCTTTCTTAGAATTCTCCAGCAAATAACCACAATTGGTATCAGAGCTTCCGTGATCTTCTAGGACCTAAAATTAAAACCTTAGCTAAACTCAACACCATTAAAACTCATCTTCTTCATGGCATCAACTTCAACTTCAATCCCTCCACCAATTCCATGTATGGGCTGTTAAGATGAAAACTTACTTGAGAGGTCATGGTTTGTGGCAATACGTTGAAGAGGAGAAGCAACCACCTCAGTTGGGGATAAATCCCACACTAAACCAGATTAGGATCCATGAAGAAGAGGTGGCAAAAACTCCAAGAGCACTGTCATGTATTCACTCTGTAGTTTCAGACCAAGTGTTTACCAGGATCATGGCTTGTGAAACTCCCAAAGAAGCTTCGGACAAGCTTAAGGAGGAGTTTAGAGGAAGTGACAAGACCCGTAATATGCAAGTCTTGGACCTAAGGAGAGAATTTAAAATGCTCAAAATGCAAGAGCTGAGGTCTGTCAAGAAGAATATGTAGATAGACTCATGAATGCTGTTAAAAAGATCAAGTTGCTTGGTGAAGAGTTGACAGCAAGAGAATGTTGAGAAAGTTCTTGTCAGTCTACAAGAGAAGTTGGAAACCAAAATTTCCCCTCTTGAAGACTCCAAGGACTTGTCCCATATCACTTTGGCAGAACTTGTCCTTGCTTTGCAAGCTCAGGAGCAGAGAAGGTTATTGAGACAAGAAGATTCAAACTTTACATTTAAGAAGATTATTCAACGGAAAAATGGTGAAGCTAGTTCAATTAAATAAATATCATTGGAGTTAGCAATATATACTCTGTTCAGCTTCACCGAGAAGTCATTTTACTTGATCTCTAGATTTTTTTGTTCCTTTGTTTCTTGATTTGATTCATGATCCCAATGTAATTAAATGTACAATATGATTGTAATCTCATACAGGTGAAAGAATTAGCGAAGATTAACATTCTTCCAATACATATCTGTATGTTGTATATGAGTGTTCCTTTGTTCAAAATGATTTCAAGGCTACAAAAGCATTACATCTTTCTTCCAAAATCATAATCCTGCCCGTCTTAATCTCAACCTAAATCCAAAGCATCGCACTTCCATAAACCAAAACCTGGCAATCTCCTGTATGATTTCTTTCTTCTCTTTGCGGTGGCTCATTTTGGCTTCATACTCTTGAAGCCAGACTCTTCCATTCGTGAAACTACCATCCGATGCAAAATTACTTCGTTCATCGTTTCTGAGACCACTGGAGGATCCAATCTGCTTAATATTCGCCCATGGATCATAATTTAATTCATCATCTGTGTCACTGCCCCAGAGAGGTATAGTCTTTATTATCGGTGAGCCACTGTAATTGTAAAAAA